GCCATTGTCCGGCCCCAGTGCGGCTAAGGCCGCTTTGGGCCGTTCCTCCGCACATCAGAATTGGAGAGGACTGAACCTGCAGCGGGTGCAGGAGGAGCTGGCCCGAGCCCCGAGTGGGCCCGAGGTCCCGAAATCCGAGTCCTCAGGAGGCGGTAATTCCGAGTGGGGTCGAGGCGGCACCTCCCACGGGTTTGGCTTGTATCCGCCCGGCCGCGCCCACCATCCTGCGGGTGGGACTGGGCGTGGTCAGAGGACGGTGTCCAGGATGCCGAGAGCCTTTAATTTGAGGCCGGGGGGAACGGCAGGCCTAGGCGCGGTTCGCGCATCTCCCTAACCGTCTCCTGGAGAAGTGGCTGAGGGGCGGAGGCGGGCCCGGCGCGGCGGGGAGGGGTCGGCGGTTGCAGCCGGGTGAGTGGGCCCTGTCCTCTCTCCCCAGCCCGTCTGGGAGCCGGCCCCGGCGAGGCAGGAATGGCCCCGAGGCCTCCGACGGCCGCGCCCCAGGTGAGCAGCGGGTCCCTCACTACCCCGGGGCGTGTTTAGAGCAGTCATTGTTCTCCGCCTGTGTGACGGCCTGTCCTAGCTTGGTCCTCCCCTCAGAGCCTCCCAGCGTGCGAAACCCAAGATGTCCAGAGCTGGGGGGAGTGGGCGTCCCAAAAAGCGGGCTGCACTGTGGGGAGGAGGGGACCAGGGCGGTGAGGTTCTGCGAGAAGAGTTGAGTGAATGTGTCGGGAAGTGTCACTGTTGAGAGTCCTGAGTGCCAGGCCAATTCCTTGAACTCTGTCACGGAATGGAGAAGGTAGGGTGACAGGATAGAAAACTATAGAGGAGGAAGTAACTGTTAGGGAAGGAGAGAGCAGCCCCAGCCTCTGACCTCTCCTAAAGATCCCGTAGGAGCCGAAGAAGCTTGGTCAGGATTTGGCTTGGAAGAGGCTGGAGATGGGCTTTCTTGGGGCAGGAGGAAAAAAAAAAAAAACAACAACGTACAAAACAGGAAGGACCTGTCCCATAGCTTTTCGTGTTCTTTTTTTGCCTTAACAAGGGTATAATAGTGTACACCCCCAGATGTCCAGCCTTCAACTTCATTAATATGAAGCTGATTTTTTAAGTCATTTATTCTTGTGAGAGAAGAGGCATTTTCTAGAAGTATCAGAACTCTGAGGTTATGCATTGATTTACATAGCGTATATCTGTGAAATTATAACAAGGTTCAGATGGTATTTTAATCCACACTCTCTTTAGAATTAAGGAAAAATCACAGACTCTAGTTGTTAAGTGCGTGATACTATCAAAATCAATCCAGGGGCGCTGCCTGGCACAGTTGGTTGAGCATGTGACTCTTGAGCTCGGTGTTGTGAGTTTGAGCCCCACATTGGGTATAGAGATTACTTAAAAGTAAAATCTCAGGGTCATAAGGTCGGGCTCCGTGCTCAGTGGGGAGACTGCTTGAGATTCTCTCTCTTCCTTTCCCTCCACCCCTCCCCCCACTCCCGTTCGCATGCACGCATGCTCTCTCTCTCTAAAATAAATAAATCTTGGGGCGCCTGGGTGGCTCAGTTGTTAAGCATCTGCCTTGGGCTCAGGTCGTGATCCCAGGGTCTTGGGATCGAGCCCCGCATCAGGCTCCCTGCTCAGCGAGAAGCCTGCTTTTCCCTCTCCTACTCCCCCTGCTTGTGTTTCCTCTCTCACTGTCTCTCTCTCTGTCAAATAAATAAATAAAATCCTTTAAAAAAAAGAAATAAATCTTAAAAAAAATAAAACATTTTGTAGTAAATTAAACATATAATGCCTTTATATCTTTTACTTCTTGTATGTTTTTATTTTATAAGGGTGAGCCTTAAGGAGTAAAACAAGTAACAATACTAGAACAAGATAGTTGTTTGGTTTGACATGAGCCAGAGCAAATCACTGGTCATCAGTGCCGTTCCATATAAAGCACTTCCTCAGCAGGCTGTGAGAATTAGGATCGCTTAACGCAGTTAACACCTCATGGGGGTGTGGGGGTGATGATCCTTCCCGTAGGGGTTGCTTTTTTTTTTTTTTTAAGATTTCATTTGCTTATTTAACAGAGAGAGCACAAGCAGGGGAAGTGGCAGGAAGAGGGAGAAGGAGAAGCAGGCTCCCTGCTGAGCAGGGCCCCATCTGAGGACCCTGGGATCATGACCTGAGTCGAAGGCAGGTGCTTAACTGACTGAGCCACCCAGGCGCCCCAGGGGTTGCCTCTTTAAGGGTGAAAGTGGATTTGTGTTCTGAGCAGTGAGTGTTAGGGATGCTTTAAACTACACTTTCAAAGCTTTGTTGCCCAAGTACTCTTGTTCAGTTATATTCTCTCAGAATGGCCTGACAGTCCCCTTGGGTTACCTAACCCAGGCTGCAGGTAATGACCCTGGAGGAAGGACAGAACAACTGAATCTACAGAGAGGTTTTTTTGGCAGAAATTTCCCTTTGTCGGAGTTTCTTTTTCTCTGAGCTTGGCCTTCAGGGAATGCAAGAGATGAGTAATTGAGTCATGTGACTGCTTATCCTGGAGGTTAACTGAGTGGGGGAAGCCTCATGCAGTATATAGCACAGGAGAAGTGGTATCAGGTGTTGTTTCTGAGGTCGGGGGGCTGCTGTGCCTACAGAGAGGGGAGAGGAAATTCTGCCTGCGGGAAAGAGTCAGTGGAGATGTCACTTTTGAATAGGAGCAGAGTCCAACAAGTGAAAATGAAGGGGGTGGAGATAGAGCTGAAGGACTTTGTGGGTCAGGGACATTGGGAAGCAAGAAGATGAGGGGCATGTTCATGAAACTGTTGTCCTGTGTGACAGTGGGTATGGGCTGCAGGCAGTGGGTAGATGAGAATAGAAGGGAGTTTGGACGTTTTTCTTTGTGGCCCTGGTAACCCATTCATTCATTCATCTATTTATTCAGCCGATAGCCATTGAACCCCTGTGATGTGCTAAGACACTTTTCTAAGCGGTTGGGATACATTAGTGAAGAACATTTATAATGATCTCTGCTTTTGTGGGGCTTACATCCTAGAAGGAGGAGACAGAAAAATTTAGTAAGTAACTTTTATAATATACTAGAAGCTGACAGTATCAGAGCGGGTAAGAAGGTAGAGAAAAGTAAGGGGGTTTGAGTGGGGAAGAAGGTGGCTTGTGGTAAGGGTACAGCTTAAATAGCGTGGTCAGGGTAAGCCTTATTCTTACTGAGATGGGGACATCTGGACAGACTGGAAGGAGGCGAGGGAGTTAGTGATGCACAGGTCTGGAGAAGAGTGCTCTGAGCAGCAGGATGTGTGTGTCTAGTGTGTTCAGGGAGCTGGAGGTGGTTGGTGTAGCTTGAGTCACTGTTGTTGAGCAGGAAACTAAGATGATTTCTTCTTAGTTTTAAAGATTGCCGTGAATGACAAAATGTAGGAGCAAGAGTTTGAAAGTCAGAGCTGCCATGAAGAGGTGTTTTGGGGCTGGGACCTTCCTCTGGTGTTTGGCTAACAAATACCTGAAGTGGCTCCAAAATGGAGGGGAACAGGAGCAGAGGGGGGATACCCTGAAAATCCTTAGGATCTATAGGATCATTAGTAGCTGTGTCTGTGTAAACATGTATCATTCTCTTCATTATGTGCACTACATTTTTAGTTTGGAAGAAAAGGTGAAACCACCAAAACAGTGAGAAATGGAGAAAGTTTTATAAGAAAAAAGCTGCATATGGAGACCAGGTTTACCTGGAAGGGCAGGAAGTAGAGAGGGACCAGGACCTGGTCTCCATTGACTCCAGATCCCAAGAGCTCCGTGGTTAGGCCATCAGGATGAATAGGCTGAGCCAAAGCTGGCTCAGGTCTCCCCAACTCACACAAGATGCTCCTGACTCCCCAGGGGCAGCCAAGCCACTTGCTGAACCAGGTCAAGATGTTTGCAGTCAGGAATGTTCAAGCTCCCTGTGTCCAGAAGTCCCCTTTCTTAGCCTTCTCCTGAGCTGACTGGAGCTGGGCTTTAAGCCCCAGTCCAGACACCCTTTCCCCTGGGTAAGGTTGGGTGCCCCTCGTTTGCATTCCCACAGCACCTGTGCACAGCGGTTGTGGTACTGTTTTTATGTCATATGGAGTTGTGTGTTTACCCATCCATCTCTGTACTAAGCTTTCAGCTAGCTCTTTTAGGGCAAGGCCATTTGACTGCTTTCATCCCTTTCTCCAAAGTACACACTCTGTAAGTGGGTGTCACCGTAGCAAACACTCATGACCGTTTAACCCCAAGCAGTAATTTTGTACTTTCTGCATTTTCTACTAATAGAGCAAAAACTAGTTTTCCAGTTACAGTGACCCTAATTTTCTGATAAAATAATTGTGAGAAACAGTATAACTTTCACTGAACACTTTTAAGAAATTTTGTCCTTTAAAAAAATTTTTTTTTAATTTTTAAAATATTTTATTTATTTGAGAGATCGAGAGTGTGAGAGAGCACAAGCAGGGGGTGTGGCAGAGGGAGAGGGAGAAGCAGGCTTCTCGCTGAGCAGGGAGCCTGATGCGGGGCTCGATCCCAGGACCCTGAGATCATTACCTGAGCCAAAGGCAGACGCTTAACCAACTGAGCCACCCAGGCTCCCCAAGAAATTTTGTCTTTAAGACAATGTTAGGATGTCAAAAACCTGTTCTTCTAAGAACTATTTCAAAAAAATATGATTATTTTCCTCTCTTTTCTATGTCTTGTACTACTTTTATTTAAAATATATCTTACCAGGGGCACCTGGATGGCTCAGTTGGTTAAGCATCTGACTTGATTTTGGCTCAGGTCATGATCTCAGGGTCATGAGATAGAGCTCCGTGCATTGGGCTCTGAGTTAACACAGAGTCCACTTGAGATTCTCTCTCTCTCCCTCTGCCCCTCCCCCTGCTCACTCTCTCTAAAATAAATAAATAAAAATCTTTAAAAATATATATATCTTATCAAAGCATGTGAGCATATATAAAATACAATTTTTTTAAATAGGAAAAAGTCATTTGTGATCCCTCTTTAGCACCTCTGTATTTGTTGTGATGAATTTCCTTTTCTCCCTATGTATGTTTTTCCCTTAAACATTTTAAATTTCATATAATTTCTATATGGATTTTTCTTTTGTTTTTTTAAAAAACACTTTGTTTTTTTTTTTAAAGATTTTATTTATTTGGGACAGAGCGTGAGCAGGGGGAAGAGGCAGAGGGAGAAGGAGAAGCAGACTCCCCGCTGAGCTGGGAGCCCAACTCAGGGCTCAATCCCAGGACCCGGAGATCATGACCTGAGCCAAAAGCAGACGCTTAACTGACTGAACCACCCAGGTGCCCCTAAAAAACACCTTTAATGGCTGGTTTATATTGCTTTCCATAAACATACCAAAATTTATTTAACCATTTCTCATAGGACGTTAGGTTGTTTCTAAAATTTTTATGATTACAAATAATACTGGGATAAAATTCTCTTGGTTACAGTTGATAATTTTTTTTGAAAATATATTATTTCATCTGTGTTCTTAAGTGAAATAGCCCTTA